ACTGTGTTCACAGAGGTTAAGTAAGTTCCAGCTGGCCCTTAAGGGCACTTAGGTGTACTTACCTGCACAAGTAGGTAGTACACCTTTCCTCAAGATATGTGGCCTCCATCTCGCAGAAAATTGTCTTATTTGATTTTGTTAGAACAAGACCCTTCCCTGCCTTGTGCTGCCACAGTTGTTATAAGTCCACAAACGTGCAAATTCTACCACATGTTGGCCTCCCCCAGATGTTGTACCTGTGAGCTCTGCAAAACCTACTTCCCATCCTGCTTGCAGCAAACACAATGAAGTCTTTGAGCAGTTCTTTCTGGTATTTGCCTCCAATTCTCTCCTCATCAATTTTGTTCATTATTTATGGATTTCCTTTTAAGAGAAATGAAGATTTAGCTCTCTCCATTTTCCCTTTGCAACTCTGATGATATTATATATCACTGCTTTAACTTAATGCAATACTTTATTAATGCATGATATAATATATATATAATGTAACATTATAATGTGTTTGCTGTGCTTAGCTGCTGTCTGACTCTTTGTGACCCCATGGACTGTGTAGCCCGCCAGGCTCCTCTGTCCATGGGGATTCTCCAGGCAAGAATACTGGAGTGGGTTGTCATGCTCTTTCCAAGGGATCTTCCCAACCCAGGAGCTGAACCCAGGTCTCCCACATTGCAGGCAGATTCTTTACCATCTGAGCCACCAGGGAAACCCAAGAATACTGGAGAGAATTGCCATTCTCTTCTCCAGGGGATCTTCCTGACCCAGGAATCCAACAGGGGTCTCCTGCATTGCAGGAGGATTCTTTACCAGCTGAGCTACCAGGGAAGCCCAAAAGTCTGATGCTCTACCAACTGAGCTACCCAGGCTCCTATATAAATATTATTCATTGAAAATTCAATCATGTACTTAAAAATTTTTTTTTAAATTTTTTAGTTGGAAGATATTGCTTTACAATGCTGTGTTGATTTCTGCTGTACAACTGTGCAAATCAGTCATAATTATATATATAATCCTTCTCTCTTTAGCCTCCCTCCCCTGCTCCCATCCCACCCCTCTAGATCATCACAGAGCTCCATGCCAGTCTCCCTGTAATCATGTATTTTGGTTTCATTCTCTCCTGGTCTCTGATTTTCTTGGAGACTCTGATTCCTTTTGTTCCCCTTTTGCCTCGTGGCCGGCATCATACTGATGGCTAACATCTGAGCACTCACTGTGTGCCAAGCTTTATTCCAGGCGCCTCGCAAGCATTCCCAGTGACCCTCCTGACAACTCCATGAAGCATGTGCATTGTTATTATGTTACACTCCAGGAAATACAGACTGAGAGAGGTTAAATAAACTGGCCCATGATTCTGCCTAATAACAGGCAGAGGCAGGAGTTAAATCCTGGTCATCTGACCCTAGGCCCCATACTCTTAACATTTTACATGTCTTTAACTCTGTTAGATTTCATAATGCCTGTAGGATTTCTTTGATAAATTCCTTTCTCTTGCTTTTCTTTCTCCACCTGAACTCCAGTTAATTAGATGTAGGATGAGCTTAATCCACTCTCTCTCTTTTTTCTCCTAATGTACACATCTTCAGCTTTCAGTTCTGTTTTCTGGAATATTATCTTATTCCAGATAAGATAATATCTTCTTATCCCTGTATTGGATTTTTAAATGTTAACATTCGTATTTGTAATTCCCAAGGCCTCTCTTTTATTCTATGCTTGTTCTTTTTCCATGATACCCTCTTCTTTTTTAATGGATGGAAGAGTCTTTCACACTTTTCTGTGGTTACTAATGAGAGCCTTTTTTGAAACTTTCTTCTGTTTCTTTTTTCCCTGTTTCTGCCACGATTATACTTCTGTTTATTTGTTTTGGGGCACCCCTTTTTATCTTGGGAGCTTTCTTTCAATACCTAGTGATCCCTTCTTTCTGTGCACATTTCAGAATAAGGCAGAGAAACCTGGGTGGTGGGTTGAGGCTTGTTGATCGCTTGGCTTTGTTGAGGATCAGATGATCCCCAGAGCATAGTACTGTTGTATTGTGGACTGCTGCATCTCTCCAGAAACAGATCTGTGATCTGCAGGGAAGGTAGGGCAGGAGAAGAGTCACAGCTTTGAATGGACTCCTCAGCCTTGAGTTTCTGCTCCTCTCTTCCTCCAACTGGGATCTCAGGGTCCACAAGCCTCTCTAAGGTCAGGAAAAGCTGGCTATCACCATAAAGACATTGGAAGACTCTCGGGGTTCAGTGCACACTGGCCACAGCCTCCAGCAAACAGAGGTCTACATGTGCTTTTCTGGGAGTGGATCAGCTGTCAGTCCTCACCCAGGAAAGATGAGGTGTCACTGCACTTGCTACTCTGTAACCATCCAGCTTGGCTGCCTCTTCTCTGGCTTGCTTCTCTTGACTTGGTGGGTGAAATGCCTCCCTGTGTCCTCTGGGCAGGCACCATGGCCCCAAAAGAATTGCCCGTGGCTCTTGCTGTGCCCTCTAACTCAGGGAGCTGGAGAGAAGCCATGCACCAGCCCTCAGAAAACCGATGTGCTCATAAACTAATTTGTCCTGGAGGCTGAGAAATGAAAGGGCTTCACAGTTGGTCCTGTTCATCAAGGAGGCCTAAAGACTTGTCCTGTTGGCATATTCTGAGTTTTCTCCCAGGGGGTCATAGAGTTTACTTCTGGGAATTGTCAGGGCTTCCTGCCCTCTGCTCATTTGATTGTTCTGGGAAACCCCAGCAGCAGCCTCCTCCTTCCACATTCTCTCGGGGATCAGCCCAGCTCCCTGCTCCTACTGGAGCCTCCTTAGTTCATTCCTTCTATATAGTTGCCTTGGATATCTACATCCCAGGCACATTGGTACACTGGGGATCATGGCAAGCCAAAGTGATGCTGTTCTGGGCTCAGGGGCCTTCAAAGTAGTTCTGGAACAGTAAACCCACTGACTTGCAATTACTTGTCACTTAAGGGAGACTAGGGGCAAATCCTTTTGCAATTTGAATAATTAACTTTTGATATAAATAGGTGTCTGGGACACTTACTTGTGACCATTGTGTTCACCTAGACTTTCAAAGTATCTTTCCAGATTTTATTAACCCAGGACTTGCCTGGAAGCAGGCTGCTCTGAGATCTCTTGAGCAGCGGTCATAGTGAAGCAGCCTGTGCTAAGCATTGGTAGGAATGGTCTCCCAGAGACGGCATCTGTCTCTTTAGACTGTGGGCACTTCCTTTCACAAGGATTATCAGGACCTACTGAAGGACACTGTGCTTAGTGTTAGACTTCCAGAGTTTCTCTCGGCAGACATTTCCCAAGGTTGGATTCAGGGAACCACAGTTCCACAGGGAAGTGTTCAGCAGGAAGTGTGGGGAAGGAGTGAGTCCCTGGTCGGATGCTGATTTCTTTCTGTGGCAGATGAGTGCTGCTGAGGTACAAAGTGAATCCCCAGCAGTGTGCCCAGGGTGCCCCAAATTTCTTTTTCCAAGGAGAGTTTATCTCTGTGTTTTAAATCACAGTAAATGTAACAGACCAGTGCTCTTTGGAGCATGCTCTGGGCCATTGCACCAATGACACCTGGTCTGTGCTCCCAGAAGCGGGTCTGGATTTCTATATGGGCTGCTAAGGGCAGTTGTCCTGACAAAGGGGGTGGTGAGGGGTTTGTGGTCAGGCTGCACCCTGCATTTACCACTCACCTGTAGCTTCAGAAAGCAAGATGATGCCAGGGTGCTTTTAGATGTCAGAGTTCCAGGTCGAATTTATTCTCAAAATTGCTTTCATTCAGAAGGAGGGAGTTTAAGGGGATGCTAACACTCACCTCCCTGGTGCCGGCCTTCACCAGAGATATGCTGTCCTCAGGAGGTTGTATGCCCGGGGCCACCTTGGACAGAGTCCCTCTCTGGCCCTGCTCTCTCTCTATGAGGACCTGGAGGCAAGTGGGGCCAGTGGACTGCTCCACGGCAGCCTCAGGCACTGTGGTGCCCCCTTGCACCCCACCTTAGTGTCAGCTTGAGCGTTGTCCTTTTATCTGCTGTATTGTTGATGTTTCTGTGAACATTTCATTTGAACCAAGGGTTTCTGATGCTAAAACATTTGGAAACCACAGGAAACATGGGTCCCCTTGCTCTCTAAGGCCCTACTCTGTCTGCTTCAGTTTTTTCCGTTTATAGACTGAATGCCTGATGCCTGTGTAGTCATCCTGGGGGGAGAAAGGGGTGGTGGCAAATGGTCCCCAGAGGGCTCTGCAAGGAACATGGCCTGCAGGATGACGCTTGGGGAGTAACCTAGGTCCTCGCTAGTCCCTCACTTCTATTTTTAGGTACAAGTGATTAGTGACTAGGGGCCCCATGTTGGGGTGGGGGGGAACGTGTACACTCACTTCTACAGCAGCCTAAACACCTTTGCGGTATCAGCAAAGCAGGGGCAACAAAATTTTGTTTTTAATTTGCAAAAGAATCAAATTTTTTCATCATGACAAAAATCAGAACTCTGTTAAATGGCCTCACATTTATTCCTGTTTTCGTCTTGCTTCTTATTGTGAATTGGGTGTGTATGTGGTTTGGGTGGGAGCCATGTACTCCTCAGTGCTTTGGGTCTCTTAAGCCCTTCCTCTGCGCTGGTGTTCCTGAGACCCCCTTGTAGAGTCCAGCTTTCAGGACGTTACCTAAAGGATTCCTTTTCTTCTAACCTTTAGTTTCAGCTACATGAACGCCTGCCTGTCCTGGGCAGATTCTTAAAATATTTGCCCATCAGCAGCCTCTCAGAGAGGAATGTTAAATGCTGCCATGATGTCAAAGGGGCCCCGAGGAGAAGGGCCTGGGCCAGGCCCAGCCTGTCACTCATGGCCACGGCAGAGTGGGAGATAAGCAAGGCAACGGCTCGCGGAGAGCCTGGTCCTCTGGGCTCCCTGAAAACCCCAGGCAGTCCCTAGCTAGGGAACAATGAACTTCCAGACACCACTGCCCAAGTGAAAGCCAGAGGTCTGTGGCTCTTCCGAATCTTCACCCTTGGAGAGTCTTCATCAGGATGTCAGGAGCCCCTAAGGAGAGTTTGGGGCCCCAGGGGCTGCCGGGGCTGGGCAAGGCCTGCTTAACCACCATGGACAGAAAGCTCAACTTGCTGAATGAGAAGGTTGACAAACTGTTACATTTCCAAGAAGACGTCACGGAGAAACTGCAGTGTGTGTACCAAGGCATGGGCCACCTGGAGCAAGGCCTGCACCGGCTAGAGGCCTCCCGTGGTCTGGGCCCGGCTGGGGCCGACCGCTCTCCACCGTCTGACGCTCAGACTGGGTGGCCGGAGGTCCTGGAGCTGGTGCGGGCCGGGAGGCAGGATGCCGCCCAGCAGGGCGCCAGGCTTGAAGCCCTCTTCCGGATGGTGATGGCCGTGGACAAGGCCATAGCTTTGGTGGGGGCCGTGCTGCAGAACTCGAAGGTGGTGGATTTCATCATGCAAGGGAGTGTCCCCTGGAGGAAGGGAAGCCTGGCCGATGTCCCTGAGGAGGTTGGTTCCTGCTTCTGTGCCCCGGTGCCCTTCTGGCTGGAAGGGAGGCTCGGGGCCCTGGTGGGTTGCCCAGACAGGAAGCTAGTCTTTGGAGAGCGGGAGGGCTGTTGTCTCCTCTAGTGTCTCCCGCATGACCTGTTGATGGGAAAGAGGAGAGGTAGAAGCTTAAAGGCCACAGGTGGATTTCCGGACAGGGAGGACAGTTGGGTTTCTCCCTTGTGCCCTGGTGAAGACTGTGGGGCCCGGGGCAGTGCGGGGCACCTAGAGGCGGGGGGCAAATAAGCCAGTAGGGAGAGGAGGGCAGTTACACTTCTCTGACATCCGAGGGACTTCTCTCCTTACACCTGGGTGGGAGACAGATGGGGACAACTCAGTTCACCCTGACAGAGCCCCCCCTTCGGAAACCCAGACCCCCCCTTCCTGTCCCCAACCTTGTGCCCTGTCCCCGAGTGGGCGGAGCGTGCAGCTGCCTGTGGGGAGATGAGTGTTGACAGTGACCCATGGGGGACACGGGCTGGAGCCAGAGCCTGGGGGTGGAGTGTGGCATTTCTGGGAGCGGCTGTTCCCAAGGGTTGCATAATCAGATCCACTGGCTAAAGGACGCTTGGCTGGGGTGCGGGGTGTTTGTGTGTGCATGAGTGTGAGGTGTGTAGAGGCAACACTCTGTTTGGGAACAGCTAAGGGTCAGCCACCTAGCAACTCGCAGATGTTGGCCTGGAGCTACCCTTTCAGATCTTTGCAGCCTTCCCCCTCATGGAATCTGAGCTTGACTCTGTGTCAGTGACTGAGGCTTTCCGGAGCAAGGCTGCAGGACTTTGCCTTCCTTCCCGCCCCCAGCCAGGCCTCCTCCAGCCAGGCCAGAAGTTGCTTTGCAGACCCCTTTCCCTCCTGCCCTGCAGCTTCTCCACAGCTGACCCCTCCCGCCCCAGCTCTCTGTTTTCTGCACCTCCCCTGAAAGTCAAGCCTGTAGGAAAGATATGACCTTCTGCTCTTGACTATGATAACCAACCTCAGCTTTAAAAAAGAAAATAAATCTAATTTATGCAATGGCAAAAATCATTCTCCCTCCTACTCATCCCCCAGTCCCCAAGACAACCCTCCTCACCCAACTATCATAGGAGCCTATTTCCTGTGAAACCTTCCTGACAGAGACTGTTAATCTATAAGCACATTGGTATACACACCACCCTCTTTGTTTAGTTTTAACTAAAATATTATTCACATTGTACTGGGCTTGATTATTTTTAAGCTTTTTTGGGCATTATTTTGGGCATTGTTTCATATTTATAACTAGAAAACGTTCTTGTTTTTTAAGTTGCAGAGAGTTCTATTTTTAAGAATGTGTCTTAATTTGTTAATCAGTCCCATATCATTGTATACATTATTTCTCATTTTTAGCTTTTATAAATAATGATGCAGTGACTATCCATGGAATTGTGAGTTTATCTATATGACACACTCCTAGAAGTGACAATGCTAAACCAAAGGGTAAATTTACACAATAAATAATGCCAAACCAACCTTCCAAGAAGTTATTCTAATTAAGTAACATGGGAATGCTTGTTGCATTCCTATTTTTGCTAACAAAGCATATTATCCAGTTTTTCATTCATTGTCTGTCTGGCGAATGAAAACATCTGTTTCTTTAAACATGTGTTTCTCTAAAAAATTTTTTTAATATAAAAAATGTCAAATGAATAAAACTAAGTTAGTATAATGAACCCTGTCAGCCCACAACTAGAGGCTGTTTCCCACCCACTTCCCTCTTTCCAGATTATTTTAAGGAAAATCTGAGACATTGGATCATTTCTTCCATAAGCAACTCAGCTAATATATCTAAAACATAAAGGGTCTTTTAAAAAACGTTAGCATGATACCCTTCATATCTAAAAGGTAAACAGTAACTTGATATTACCAACCAGTGTTCAAATGTCCCTTATCAACTAATGTTTTATTTGTTAACTTTTAAAATTTGTTTCTTTGAGTTAAAATCCAAATAAGGCAATTGGTTACATGTTTTTAAGGTTACTTTTTTTTTTAATTCATAAATTTTCCCTCTTTTCCATTTTCTTTTTTTTTGTCTTTTTCTTGATTTTTAAGAATTCTTCATATATAAGTGAAGTTAGCTGTCTCACGTGTTGCAGATATTTAGGCATTTCTGCATAAGGCAAAGCCATGGAACTTTCTATTTTCTTACCATAGTTCTTGCCTGTGATTGATCTGGAACATGACTGATCTCTCTTCTGGTCTTTGTATTTAATATACATGTTAGTAGCTATCTACAGGGCTAGATCTAATCTCCCAGTTAGGCTGTCATCTCCTTACCTTACCCCCATGAGAAACCTCTGCTTCCTTCTGTGTGCTGGCAGGGCTTTCTCACAGAGGGTGTCAGAAAATGGGCGGTTAATAGCTGAGACTGAGCCCCAGCTTTTAAACACAATGTGGATGCTGAAAACAGTGCATTATGGAGACTTTCTGGAGACCCTCTTGTATTTCCTAGGAGAGTATGGGCATTGCAATTTGTGGAATTGAATGCAGTCCTAGCACTGGCTGCCAGGACTTCATGAAGCTTCTCCTCAGGTCTGGATTGCCCAGTGACACTTCATTTGGTTATAGCAATGGATCAGATTATTACTGGAAGCCACATGCTCTCTCATGGACGGAGTCAGGCTCAGCCAGGGTGCACAGAATCACAGTCAAACTGCTCAGAATGCATCAGTCTTCCAGGTGCCTAGGTGTTTGGGGTTTATCCTCCTCCTTCTGAATACATCCAAACAAGGCCGAGACCAAAAGATTGAGCCTTGAAGTCAAAATTAATCTCTGCCTCTGTGTGTGTGTGTGTGTGTGTGTGTGTGTATGTGCATGCACCTCCCTCCACCAAACACAGGGGGAGGGAGAGGATAGTCTGAACCCCACAAGGTCTGCCAAAGGACAATCTGTTTGAATCAGTCTGTTTGAATCTTTCTCCACTGGTAGGTGAAGCAGGAGGCAGCTATGATAATGCTTCCAGTTCCCCAGCTATCGGGGTGGCAGGACAGAGTCTGTAGAAAGAGACCCAGGGAGAGATCTCCCTAGAGCAGGGGATCCAGGTCACGATGATGCTGGTGATAATCATGATGACGATAGCCAACCTTATTAAGTGTTCCCATGTGTTATGTTGTTACCATTAAGAGGGCAAAGCTTGCTGTCCTGGAATCACACAGACATGAACAGGAAACAAGACTGAGAGAAGTGGTCACAGGGTAGGAAAATCAGTGGAACCAACCTGGAAGCAAGCAGAACCCTGTGTACTGCCCTCCACTCCCACCTCAAGTACAAAGAACGCTCCACACCCCCTGCCTTTTGTTTGTAAGAAAGCTGAAGTCTCCCAGGCCTCACAGAGTCACAAAAGAGCAGGCTCAAGCAGCTAATGATTAGGACACTAGAGTCACAGACCCAGTGTCTGATACACGTTCCTGAGTTGTTTCACAGACACTGTAACTGCCACCAGAGGGAAAAGGCCAGCTGCATGTTGACCAGACTGCAGCCATGCCATAAACTGCTCCATCTTTAGTAGTACTGAATTTATGGCTAGGGCAGTTTCAAGAACTGGCCTCAAGAGAATGGTATTAACACTATTGCTCATAACAATCTATAACTTTGTGGGTATTAGAATAATTATAGCTTGCTCTGCAAAAATATGTAAGCAGGCAACTAAAATTGTCAGCAAAGAGATGGTACAGATTCAAGTCAACATCTTCACTCTGAAAATACAATGTCTTATGTCAGCATGAAGAATTTACAGAAGTCAGACAGATCCCTAATCCCAAAGGAATGGAATATGGCACCCTGTGTCAGCATGAAAGAGTTACAGAAGATGTATTTTCCCTCATAATTCCAAAGAAATGGAATGATGTTTTGACAAGTGGGGATTTGTAAGCAACATTTGGCAAGAAAGAGCTCTCTGTAGGAGCGCCCTTTTATCTTGTCACCAAACTTAAACCAGGCACCTCCATGCTCTCCTCATGTCTGGCCCAAGCATACCTTTCAAATCTTTTAATCACACAATCCCTTGCCTAACATGTTCATTCTTTCTGTACATCAAACAACTAGAAATGAAGAATAAGTAATTAACAGACGACCAGATCTCTTCCCTAGCTTCTTCTTTAGTAATCTCACAAAGTAACTAACTGTGTGAACAAACTGTGAACAAGATAGCCTCCACCAGCCTATACAACAGGCCTGCATTCAGTGGGGGATGAGGGCAACTCTGACTCCTTATCTCAATGATTAACTGAGGTTACTTTCTTCTTCCCCTTTAAAAACATTCATGACTGAGCAGATTCTTTGGAGGTGGCTTTTGGGGGAAGAGAGTCCACCATCTCCCCAGATTGCTGGCATTCTGATTAAAGGCAACTTTCTACCAACACTTGCCTCTCTCAAGTATTGGTTTTTGAGCAGTAAGCAGCTGAACTTGATTCAGTAACAAACCTAACCTTCATCCTTAGTGTCAGGGAGACATGCAAGAGAGGTGAGGATTGTGATGCCCTGGTTAGAAGGAATTGCTCCAGCTGATTTTTGCCATTTGGGCTTGGAGTTGACAGATCATCAGATTTTTTTTTCAAGAGAAGCTGGAAACCTAGAATTTTTTCTAATCAGTTTTATTAAGGTATAATTTCCATACAATAAACTGTACATATACAACTAAACATGAACATCTTAAGTACACAGTTTAACAAATGTATATACCCTAATAACCACCACCACAATCAAAATGTAGAACAATTCTCTAAACCCAAAAAGGAGCTTAGAATTTTGATGTAAATGCTGTGCAAGCCAAATAAAACTCTAGCTCTTTTTGGACTCTGGGCTCCCAGTTGAGGCCTCTCTGGCCAAGGTAGGAGAAAGGGCCTTCAGTCTCTGGGCGGAGACCAGACCTGGGTCTGTGACAAGTGCCAGAAGGAATCTTAGGGGCCATACTCTAGATGGGGTTTAAACCCTACCAGTCTGGCTCAAGCGTCCTGTACTATAAAGTCAAAGACTCAGAATCACCAGGAGGCCCAACAAGGGTCAAGGCACCTAGAAATATTTGCACTCAGAAATACTGAGTGCTCTGGATGATTTCTGGAGCCCAGCGCATGCACTGGTCTGGTGTGGACCGTTCAGTTAGGGAAGAACTGCTGAGAGACTCTGTGGGTGGGCTCTGAGCATCCTACATGATCCACTCTATCTGTTTCAGACAGGATAAAATCACCAGAGCTAATCACCTTGTGTTGGGAGAACTCCTCAAGAAATTCTACAAATGAACTCCCTCAATCTTCCCACTGCTCTGTGATTAGATACTATTCTCCCCATTTCATAGATGAGAAAAGTGAGAGGCAGAGAAGTTAAGGATCTTGTCAAATGGTTAAACCGGGTTTAAATCCATCAAGTTTAGCTCAAGGGTCCTGTACTATAAAGAGAGAACATTGGATCCACCTACCTAGCTCCCAGGCAGATATTCATTGACAATGACACTCCCCCTACAAGCGTGGATTCAGTATCCAACCCAAGCCAACAGTGGAATAGTCATGACCGACTGATCTAAATGGACTCAAATTTATTTTCCAAGCCTGATCTAGTATTTTGAGGTCTGGTCTATTTAGATAGGGGACTAGGTCTGCCCCTTACCTGCAATACAGTAACCCATTTGAAAGGACTTGGTGACCCTGGGAAAACCTCAGTGTCCTTATCTCTAGAATAACAATAGTAATTCGTACCCTCTAGTATTACTGTGAGACTACATGAAATAACCTAAGTGTTTCTATTTCAAGCACAAGGTAGGTACTCAACAAAATGTTTGTGGCCTCAATGATGACAGTGATAGCTGTTATGGTCATTCTTTTAGAACAAAGAACGAGTGGAAGAGAAAGAAGCAAAACCAAAGCACACGCTGAGCACCAGAGGTGTGCAGGCTGAGCTCAGAGGCCCTTGGGAAGGTGAGTAGGGCCCCATTTGCTTTATCCCACATGCACACCCAACAGTTTCAGTGTAAAAATACCACCACCATAACAAACATGATTACTGAAAAACTGCTGAAATGTCTTCTTCCTCTGTTTTTGAAGTGTTTTTTTTTTTATGTTTATCCCACTCTGTATTGCTATGTTTATTTCACTGTGCTTTAAATTTTTATGGATTTTTTAAAGTTTAATTTTCTTTTATACTTTTTGCATAATATTTATATGCTTCCAAAGCTGAATTGATAAAACAAGCTATACTAAGTCTGGCTTCTATGCATGTTCCCTGCATCTCATTTTCTTCCCCACATTTGTAACCATTTAAAAAAATTTCTGTCTTATCTTTCCTTTGAGGTCAAGTCTCTTCAGACCACATTATAAGTGGTTATACACATGCATGTGTGTGCTCATACACACAGACAGCCTCCCTTTAGACAAACAGAAACACATCACACACTTCTCTGCCTTGTTTTCTCCATCTGAATATCCTGAGATCACACCAGAGCTGCATATGGAGATAGTCATTTCTCCTTTTTTATGCCTGAGTGGCCCTGGTTTAGTCAAACAGCTCCATCCTGATGGTCACTCGGGTTATTTCCAGTCAGCCTAGAGTTATAGACATGGTGCACTGAATGGCCTGCCGCATATTCTTTGGAAAGTTTCCTCCAAATGAGAGATTTATCCTGCTTATTTTCCTATAGAGAGCCAGAAGGTGGACCTGCCAGAGGGGACAGCATCTGACCTTCTTACCCAGGCAGAGGCCTCACCAGAGCAGAGAGACGGAATTTCTGGCCCAACTCCGGTGCGCCCAGAGGTGGAAGTCCAAGCTCCTAGAGCATCCAGCGAGAACCCCGGGATTGGCCTGGAACTGTCTGTGGTGTCTGAAAGGGTCAGTGAGGCTCCCACTGGCCAGGAGGCTGCATCGCGTGCCAGTCGAGGAACATCACCCAGTAGGCCTGACCCTCGGCCCTCAGTGGAGGGCATGCGGCTGACTCCAGCACCGCCAGCTCAAGCCAAGGCAGCTCACAGTGGTGGAGATACACCTCCAAGGTAAGGCATGTGCCTCCAAGCTGGGAAAGGAGGGGGGAATTAACTGCAGCCCCTAGGCTAGAGCGTGGCCAAGGGGACAGCTGCTCCTGCAGAATGTCCACTGTGTGTGCAGTGCTGGCTAGTCTCACAAGGGGAAGATAGGAGAAGGCCAAGGCCCTGCTTTCAGGAGCTTAGAGCACTGGTTCTTAACTGGCACCCATAGGAGTTACTGGAAGGAATTTTTAAGATACAAATGAACAGAGATTCTGATTTATTCAGTCTGGAAGGAGGTTCAAACATTGTTTTTAAAGCTCCCCCGGTGAGTCCCATGTGAAACAAGACTGAGAATCACCAGTTCTGACAGCAACAGTAATAGCTATAATGACACCTAAAAGATGGGGTTCACAGGACACATCCCAGGTGACGGTCATTGGCTGAGCATTTCACAGACATCATCTCATTTCATTCTCAAAACATCCCCAGGAGGTATCCTCAATTTACTGATGAGGAATCAGGGTCAGGTTGCCCAGGGTCACACAGCTAGGGGTTCAGAGTTGGAATCTGAACCCAGGTGTTTGTTTATTATTGAAGTATAGCTGATTTACTATACTATATTAGTTTCAGGTATTCAGCATGTGGGGCTTCCCCAATGGCTCAGTGATAAAGAACCCTCCTGCAACGCAGGAGCCGCAGGAGATGCGGGTTCAATACCTCCGTCAGGAAGATTCCCTAGAAGAGGGCATGCCAACTTACTCCATTAATCTTACCTGGAGAATCCCATGGACAGAGGAGCCTAGCGGGCTATATAGTTCATAGGGTTGCAGAGAGTCAGACACGACTGAGTGACTGGGCATACACTCATGCGGACAGCATAGTGATCAGATTTTTTATAGTTTACACCCCATTAAAAGTTACTATAAGATAATGGCTATAATTCCCTGTGTTATACAATATATCCTTGTTGTTTTTCTAGTTTATACATAGTAGTTTGTACCTCTTAATCCCCTACTACTAATGAGCACCTCCCCCTTCACCGTCCTCACTGGTAATCAACCAGTAGTTTGTTCTCTATTTCTGTTTTGCTATATATCTTTAATTTGCATCATTCTTTTTAGATTCTGTATATAAGTTATATCATACAATAATTCTTTCTCTGTCTGATTTACTTTATCAAGCATAATATTCTCTAGTTGATATACATTGCTACAAAAGGCAGAATTTCATTCTTTTTTATGGCAGAGTAGTATTCCATTGTACATATCTACCACATCTTCTTTATCCATTCATCTGTTGATGGACACTTGGGTGCTTCCATATCTTAATTATTGTATTTACAATAATTTACAAACTATTTAGTGCTGCTATGAACATTGGGGGCATATGTATCTTTTCAAATTGATGTTTTTGTTTTTTTCTGGATGTACATCCAAGATTGGGACTGCTGTGTCATGTGGTAGTTCTATTTTTAGTTTTTTGAAGAACCTCAATACTGTTTTTCACAATCATGGCCCCCATTTACATTCTCACCAACAGTGTATAATTGTTCCTTTTCCTCCACATCCTTGCCAACATCTGTTATTTGTAGTTTTTTTGATGATAGGTGATCTGACTGTGTGATGTGATATCTTGTTGTTTTGATTTGTATTTCTCTAATAATTAGCGTTGTTAAGCATCTTTTCATGTTCTTTTTGGTAATCTGTATGTCTCGTTTGGAGAATTGTCTATTGAGGCCCTCTGCCCATTTTTTTCATTGGGTTGTTTGTTTTTTTATATTGAGTCTATATAAACAAATAGGATGTTTGTATATTTTGTATATTAACCCCTTGTTGGTCATATCATCTGCAAATATTTTCTCCCATTAGGTAAGTTGTCTTCATTTTTTCAATGGTTTCATTTGCTGTACAAAAGCTTTTAATTAGGCCCCATTTGTCTATTTTTTTGTTTTGCTTTTATTTCTTTTGACTGAAGATACAGCTTTTTAAAATTTACTATAATTTATATCAGACTATTCTGAATAACCATTCTTTTCCAGGAGTTTTATGTGTGGGATCTTATATTTAGATCTTTAATACACTTTGAATTCATTTTTGTATACATTGTGAAAAAGTAGCACAGTTCGATTCTTTTGCATGTAGCAGTCCAGGTTTCCCAACAGTGTTTATCGGGCTGTCTTTTCCCCCATTGTATATTCTTCCCTCCTTTGTCATAGATTAATTGACCATGGGTGCATAGGCTTATTTCTGGACTATTTTTTGTGCCATTGATCTATGGTTCTGTTTTTGTGCTAATACTATGCTGTTTTGATTGCTGTAGCTTTGTAATAGAGCCTAAAGACTGGGAGGGTTATTCCTCCGGCTTTGTTCTTTTTAATCAAGATTGTTTTGATAACTTAAGGTCTTCTGTGGCTCCATATGAATTTTAGGATTATTTGTTCTCATTCTGTAAAAAATGTCACGGGTATTTTGATATAGACTGCATTAATTCTGTAGATTGCTTTGGGTGGTATGCCTATTTTAACAATATTAATTCTTCCAATCCAAAATGGGGTATCCTTCCATTCCTTTATATCATCTTCAATTTCCTTCATCAATGTTTTATAATTTTCAGAATGAATGTCTTTTATCTCTTTGGTTAAGTTTCTTCCTAGGTATTTTTAAAACGTGATTTTAAAAGGGATTGATTTTTTACTTTCTCTTTTGGATAGTTCACCATTAGCATATAGAAAATCAACAGATTTCTGTATACTAATCTTGTTTCTTGCAACTGTATTGAATTCATTGATAGATTTTTATAGGTTTGGGGTGGAAATTTTACAGTTTTGTATTTAAAGTATCATGTCAGTTGCAAATAGTGACACTTTTCTTGTTGAATAGTGACATTCTTTTCTTCCATTTTGGATGCCTTCTATTTCCTTTTCTTGTCTGATAGCTGTGTTTAGGAGTTCCAATACTATGTTAAATACAAGTGGAAAGAGTGAGATCCTTGTCTTGTTCCTGAATTTAGAGGAAAGGCTTTTAGCTTTTCATCATTGAGTGTGATATTAGCTATGAGACTGTCATAGTGGCCTTTATTATGTTGAGATGTGTTCTCTCTATACCCACTCTGATGATAATTTTTATCATAAATATATGAATGGATGTGGATGTGGAATTTTGTCAATGCTTTTTAGGCATCTATTGAAATGATCATGTGGTTTTTATCCTCCCTTTTGTTATAATGATGTATCACATTGATTGATTTGCAAATATTGAACCAACCTTGGGTCCTTTGAATAAAACCCACTTGATCATGGTGTATGATCCTTTTTGCATATTGTTGAATTTAGCTTGCTAGTATTTTACTGAGGATGTTTACATCTATATTCATCAAAGATACTACGCTATAACTTGCTTTTATGGAGTATCTTTTTCTGGTTTTGATGTCATTGTAATGGTGGCCTCATAGAATACAGTTGGGAGTGTTCCATCCTCTTCTTGGACTAGTTTGAGAAGGATACGCCCTAGCTCTTTTTTTATAGAATACGAAAGAGAATTACCCTGTGAAGCTGTCCAACTCTGGACTTTTGTTTGCTGGGTTTTTAAAAAATTACAGATTTAATTTCACTGCTAGGGATCAGTTTGTTCAGATTGGTTGTTTGCTCTTGATTCAGTCTTGGCAGGCTGTATGTTTCTAGAAATTTGTTGATTCGTTCTGAGTTATCAAATTTGTTCATATATTCTTTTCTGATTTTTTGTAGTTCTACGCTATTTGTTATTTCTCCTCTTTCATTTCTTTTGTTTGTTTTTAATTAAAATATAGTTGATTTACAATGTGTTATTTTCTGCTCTACAGCAAAATGATTCAAGTATATATATGTATATATATATTCTTTTTTTAAATGTTCTTTTCCATTGTAGTTTATCATAGGATAGTGAATATAGTTCTCTGTGCAATACAGTAGAAACTTGTCCTCTTTCATTTCTTCTTTTGTTTATTTGGACCTCTCTCCTTTCTCCTTGATGAGAGTGGTTAAAGGTTTATCAGTTTTGTTTGTCTTTGTTTCATTGATCTTTTTCTATTGTGTTTTGATCTCTATTTTACTTATTTCCCCTCTAATTTTTATTTTGCCTTTCCTACTGCTGACTTTGGGCTTTCTTATTCTTCTTTTCTAATTCCTTTAGGTGGTAGATCAGGTTGCTTGAGATTTTTCTTGTTTATTGAGGAAGGTCTGTATCACTATCATTTTCCTTCCTAGAACTGATTTGACTGAACTCCATAGGTTTTGGGGGCTTCCCAGATGGTGCTAGTGGTAAAGAACTTGCTTGCCAATGCAGAAGATGTAAGAGACACAGTTCGATCCTTGGGTCAGGAAGATCCCCTAGAGGAGGGCATGTCAACCCACTCCAGTATTCTTGCCTGGAGAATCCCATGGACAGAGGAGTTTGGCGGGCCACAGTCCATAGAGTCGCACAGAGTCAGACATGACTGTAGCAACTTAGCATGCATGCATGCATGCATGCATAGGTTTTGGAGCACTGTGTTTCCATTTACATTGTCTCAAGATATTTTCTGATTTCCTCTTTGATTTCATCATTGACCCATTGGTCTTCTAGTAGCATGCTGTTTAGTCTCCACTTGTTTGTTCTATTCCCATTTTTCTTTCTGCAACTGGTTTCCAATTTCATACCACTGTGGCTGGAAGAGATGCCTAACATAAGAATACACATTCTTTTCAAGTGCACATGGAATGTTCTCCAGGCTAGATCACATGCTAGGCCATAACACAAGTCTCAAAAAATTTAAGAGGATGGATATAGGTTTCTGGACTCCAATATCTGTGTCCCTAATCACTGCACAATCCTGTTTCTTGTCAGCATTTAGTTAAGTCCTAAATACTATGGTAGGGAAAGAATAATGGGTCTTCAGAGGTGGTAGGTTGGTATAGGCTGAATCAAGCCAAGGGAGTTTCAGGAGGATTATGCTTGGAGTCCTGGAGATGAGGTTGTATCCTAACCCTCAGGACTCAGCCTCAGGACCTGCCATCAGCCAACATGGTGCAGGAGAATGAGTTAGAACCTGATGATTGTCAGATCTGTGTGTTATCCAGCAGTGTTCTCCAAGGGCAGTGCACTAAAGGGCATTCTGCTTCCTGGGCTTCTCTCTAAATGGCCTGGTACCCTGTACACCTGTCCTCAGTTGTCCTGACCTGTAACCAGGCCCCTCAAGGCCTGCTGTAGGGAGGGGAGCTGGTGTCTGTGTATGCTGTGGTGACTGGCAGGGAAGCCCAGATACTTTGTCTGCCTTTGTTCTGCAAGGAAATGTGAGTCCCCAGGAGACCTAACCATCTGGAGGGAGGGCTTCCTGGCAGACATCCCTGGATCCTTGCCAGGGCTCTAAATGTAGAATCTAAGGTGGAGATGAACTTTTCATGAACTTGCTAGGGGCCCTAAAAAGATTCTGGGTGAGAGAGAAAGGTCTCTATGTAAGTTTAAACCTTGAGCTGAATTTCAGACACACCCAACTGGGCTTAGGAACTGGGGAGATCATTACCTACCCTCCCTTATCTAGCACATGGGTATATCGTGAGGAAAAATGGGTTTGAATGCAAGTGTTGGCTCTAATTGGCAGCGGCCACCTGACCACCTGTATATTCTTCCAGATACTGGATTCCTGCAGTTTCCCATGTTCCTTGATCAAGGCAATGCCTGAGTGGGGCTTGGATGCCACCTTTCCCATCCTGCCCTGTCATCACCAACCTGTAATTGCTCCTGAGGGGTGTCAGGGGAATTTTGCTACATCCTATCCAAGCTTTAGCTGTGAACAGTCTGCAGAACCAGGTGCATTCAGGAGCAGGCAAAGGAGGGACCCAGGCCTCCAGTTGCTAGGGGAAGTCCTAATTTAAAAAAAAAATTTTTTTTTGTTAAAACGCATGTAACATAACGTTCATCGTTGTAACCATTTTTAAGTGTATAGTTCAGTGGTGTTAAGTATATTTATATTGTTATGACACAGATCTCCAGAGCTTTTTCATTTTGTAAATCTGAAACTGTTACCATAACTACCATTCAACTTTCTGTCTCTATGAATTTGACTACTCTAGGTCCTTCATAGGGGCTTCCTAGGTAGCTCACTGGTGTAGAATCTGCCTGCCAATGCAGGAGATGTGGGTTTGATCTCTGGGTTGGGAAGATCCCCTGGAGAATGGAATGGCAACCCACTCCAGTATTCTTGCCTGGAAAATCCCATGGACAGAGAAGCCTGGCAGGCTACAGTCCATGGAATTGCAAAGAGTCAGACACGACTAAGTGAGATTGAGCACAGAAGCACGGGTCCTTCGTATAACTCATTCACTCAAATGTGTAGAATCAGCCTTTCTGTCACTGGCTTATTTCACTTAGCCTAAGGATGAATACTATTCCATTATGTGTATATGCAACGCTTTGTCTATTCTTTCATCAGTCAATGGACACTTCGGTTGCTTCCACATTTGACTGTTGAGAATAATACTGCCATGAATAAGGCTGTACAAACATCTCTTTGAGGTTCTGCTTTTAATTATTTTGGGTTTATTTTCAGAAGTGGGATTGCTGGATCATATGGTAATATATTTTTACATTTCTGAGGAGCTGCCATACTGATTTCCACAGTGGCTGCACCATTTTAGCCTTCACTATTAGTACCTCTGTGGTTTCTTTTCTTAGTTGACTCTCAGCACATTCAGGAGGTGTTATCATCCTTGTTTGACATAAGCAGTTGCTGAGGCTAGATTTGCCCAAATCCAGCCCTATCTAGTAACCTGGTGGCAGATCAGTATGGTCTGAAGCTCCCAGGGTCAGGGTCCTTTCCTCTGAATGTTGGGGCTTAGAGGACTTTCCTGACCTCCAGCTGGGGTCCCAAACCACAGTACTGCTTGGTCTGGGGAACAAGTATGGATGAGATGGGCCCAATGGCACTGGGGACTTGTAGAGAGGCAGAGAATTTCCTCAAGCATATAAGCATGCCGGCCCAGCACAGCCAGGACTGTTTCTTCAGGAGAAACAGAAAGTCCAGAGTCTTATAAACAATTCCCTGATTTTACTAAAATATGTCTAACCTGAGGCTTCTAGTGTGATGTTTGACTTGGTTGACCCTTCTCGTCACTTAAGAGAAGGGAAACTGAGGCCCAGAGAAGGAAGGGAACAGCCCAGGTCTCCTGCCTCCAGGCCACAACCCTTCTGGGGCAGAACCATGTTCCAAGGGGCCACAGGGATGTCTGGTACCCATCCTCCCATTCCTCTCACCCCCCATCCACCACAGATTCTTCAAGTCTCCCAGATGCTGACCCAGTGGAATCCTGGTGACATCACACGCCACTGAAACCAGCCTCTCCCCAGTGTTGTGTCTGGGTAGAGAGGGGTAGGGTTTGGTTGCTGGTTTCAACCACAAGCTAACTCTTACTATTATAACAACCCAAAGGACACTTTTAACAGATGAGAAAACTGAGGCTAAGAGACCATGGTTAGTGAATGGCAGCAGCAGGCAGTTGAACCCAGGTATGCTCTGATTTGAGTTCTTGCCACATTTCTCTCTGTCCCAGGATCTCCATTCATGTGCAGGAGACAGATACCCCTGGGGAACTGCTTGTGACACGAGGGGGCAGCCTCAGAACCTCACCCCCTGCAGAGACTCCAGCAGCTGTGCCTCCAAGTGAGCAGGACCCACCTGGGCCCAGGTGCTGCCCCCAGGCCCCCGGGACTGAGTCAGGAAAACCTATCCCCAGAGGAGCCAGTGTGCGGAAGCAGAGCTGCGATGGGGGAGCAAAGGCCAAAGAGAAGCAAGGACCTGGGTCCGAGCTGACCATGGCGCCAAGCAGGGCCAGGAGGGACAAGGCAGCTGATTCCGGGGCCCCAGGCCCACAGCAGGACACGAGCCCTGGATCAGGGAACCCTGACCCTGGGAAGGACTGCACAGCTGGGGGTGCGGGCAGTGCCGAAGCAGGAAGGAGGACACCGCCAGGAGCTGAGGCGGGCAGCCTGGTTCTAGGTAAGTGAGGCCGTTGCTGTGTGCCCCAAGGTGAGTGAGTCTCAACAGCCTACTCTGGGGGGCTTCCCTGAAGCTCCCAGGTAGAGATAATGTGGGGATAATGTCTGGGAGACCAGGACTCAGAACAGCCTGCCAGCACATCCCAGAGCTGGAGACCAAGGCATAGAGATGCGGCAGGCTGAGCTCAGGTTGGCTGTGGCCGTGGGAGAGGAGGGAACATGGGGGACTCAGCTGGGTGGGTTTCTCAAAGCCACCTGCCTGCCCAGTAGAATTGGTATCATTCTGGATTGAGATAGGGAAGGCTCCTGCTAAAAAGCAAATCCATTACCTGGCGTATATAACCTACTATTAGCCATTTGCACCCAGTGGGCTGACTCTCATCCAGGATCAGGAAGGGGCTGCTGATCTGCTTTCTGTCCCAGAGGTAGTGATAGATGTCCTGGTGTTCCTGTGACCCAAAGGGCCTTACTTTCAAACCTTAGGGCCACACCCTCAAGGGAGCTCTCACCCCATGCGGTTCCCGGAAGGCCACCTTTGCCAATTCCCTGTCCCAGAATTTCTGGAGGCCCTGAGGAAGGGCTGAGTGTTGTGCAGGTCATCCTGGTGCCCCTTGGCTCTTCCAGGCTCTGAAGTTGCTCTGATGTCTCTGCTTGCTTCCTTTCCCCTTGTATGACCTGGTCCAGATGTGGACACAGCCTCCCTTAATTCCTGAAACACAGGTGAGAGCAGCCTGTGACTTTAGTCTTTTCTGAGACTTAAGATGGTGACCAAGCCAATGTTAGCTGAGGACTCTCTGTGAGCCAAGCCTCAAGCGTTTGTGGCGGTGTTTACCCTCACAGGTCTGTGGAGTGAGGACCCATGAGATACAAGAGAGGCTGAGAAACACTTGTAAGGCCACAGGGTCTGTGCTGACAGAGTCAGCATATGACCACTGGGCTCTTGAAACTTGTGTGTAAACCTTGAGAAGAGAAGGCAGTTACTTTGCAGTGAAGGAGACTTCAGACTGGAATTCTAGAAGTGGAATCTGTGCCATACAGTCAGGCTTTCCAGAGGCCAAGAAAACAACAAAACCCCACAAAAGTTACCCCCTTGTAGTCTAGGGCTCAGGCACACAAAAAATTCTCTCAGAGCACATTCAACCCTCTACTTTGGGGAGCAGAAAGTTGCTTGTGAGACAAACTAAGAGAAAATAGCAGTATTTTCCCCTGCTCTGGGTCCAGGGTTGCAGAAATCATGGAGCTGTCCTGGGAACACTCTGAATGCTCCCTTGATAAACCCCCAAGAAACCGGCAGAGGCCTTTTTGAACAAGGAGGGTCTAGGACTGGGGGTCGGGGTGGCGGTGGAGGGTGGTGGGGAGCTGAGAGGTAGGGGCGCATGAAGGAGACTCACAGGCTGCTGTCTCCCGAACAGACGACAGTCCGGCCCCGCCAGCCCCTTTTGAGCACCGGGTGGTGAGTGTCAGGGAGACCTCGACCTCAGCGGGCTACGCCGTGTGCCAGCATGAAGTCCTGGGAGGGTAAGCGGGCCTTCTGCCTCGATGGGGGTGGGGAGGGCACCTGGACAACCGGGCGCTGCTGCTGGTTCTCAGGAACTGGTGGGTGGAGCCACAGCCAAGAGCGGGCTGTCCCGCACGGCAAAAGCACCAGCCGAGAGCTCATAAAGAGTGGGTGAGGAGACAGCCGCGGAGAGCAGGAGGGCCCATGTGGTGTGAGTGAGACCAAGTGTAGGGTACAGGTGGCCCCACAGTGCAGGCCTGGGGCCCATGTACTGGAGGTGAAATGAGAGCCGACATGGGGTGGGTTAAGAGGAATGACCTCTAGGGTGCAGGATGGCCTGGGTGGTGTGGCTGTGGGGGACTCCCCTGGGGTGCAGGATGGCCCATACCTGTGGGGTGAAGAAGCTCTTCTCCAGGTTCAGGCAATAGTGTGGGGCGGTGACTATGATACCTCTGAGGGGCAGGGTAATCCCTGTAGTGTATGTGGAATTGGGGTAGAACCAGAAAGTCCAGGGTCCCAGATGGGGCTGGCCCCCACTCACGCGCAGGCTGTGCCTCTGGGGCTCTGAGCCTGCTGTGTCATCGTGTCTCTCTCTGCAGGGGCCGGTTCGGCCAGGTTCACAGATGCACGGAGAAGGCCACAGGCCTCTTGCTGGCGGCCAAGATCATCAAAGTGAAGAGCGCCAAGGACCGGGTGAGGTGTCTGCCCCAGCCCAAAGGGTGCCCTGGGCCAAGCTCAGAACTCCTTTACTTCCTTCTAGGCCCCTCTGGGTCCTGCACTGCCTCAGGCCCCTCCACAACGAGCAGGAAACCTGGCCACCTTTCCTGCCTTTTTTCCTTGGCCCCTACCCTCTAGTCAGCAATCACCTTGTACCCTGGGTCCTCCCAGATCTCCAGGGTTCTTTTGGGGGTCTCAGGGTTCCTATCAGGGAAATGGGTGAGTTCCTTCTGTTGTAAGAAGCTGGTGTGGGTGGTGAGTTGAGGAAACCTGGTGATGCTGCAGGAAATGAGGATGCAGGGTGGGTGGGGGTGTGTGTGTGTGTGTGTGTCTTGGGAGATGCAACTGACTGCTCTTCCTAACCCATTTCTTGGAAACTCTCCCTGTTGGCTTCACAAGGAGGATGTCAAGAATGAGATTAACATCATGAACCAGCTCAGCCATGTGAACCTGATCCAGCTCTACGATGCCTTTGAGAGCAAGAACAGCTTTACCCTCGTCATGGAGTAGTGAGTGGGAGGCAGGGCCGGGGCTCAGGGTGGGGCTAGGAGCCAAGGTTGCAGCAAAGCTGTCCCTTTCCGCTCTCTGTGACACCCAGGGAATGTCATCACTTCCTCTACCTGACCTCCAACATAAAACACAGAGGACAAGGCCATTTGTCAGAAACCAGTGAGCCTGGTTCAACCTGCAGATATTGTTTTGGCCTACACATTTTTAATAATTTTGATTTAGTATTACAGTTGGAAATTGGGAAATTTCACATTAAAACCTAGATGCCCGATTTTTCTTGCAAATATAAAAGATCTAGTAATACTGGGTCTGCATTCTCAGTTGGAAATGGTATGATGGAGCTTGTAGTAACTGACCTTTGTAGACAGGGCAACCAATTTCCCATTTGCTACAGTCCCCACCACTTTCAACTACCCATAGTGCTGAGGCCAAGGGCTCAGGGGACATTTATTAGTGTGTTGGTGTTGCTGCTTTCCTTCTGGTGCAAGTGAGGCAAGTGAAACATTTGTCATGTCATTTCTCTATAAAAAATGGAAAAACAAAAGTTAGACTAAAGGCTGTGTATTCCAAGAAAACTTTTGTCTCACATCTGGTCTGATTTGTCCACTTAGATTCTTGCCATGTAGGTACTAACTGGCCCCTATAGGCCAGTGAGTTTATTGGCCCCTATAGGCCAGTGAGTTTATAAGCTTGGTCTGGAGTATTGAGAGTGAGTATCCAGAGTGAGCCTGGGTGATCAGCACTGCAGACAAGCCCCAGTCTCCCGTTTGGCCCATCACTTCCTTTTTATCAGCCACACTCTGAGCTGGGGAATAGACTGGAGCCTGTCCCCCCCCGCCCCCACGGTCCCCCATAAAACCCCAGGTGGCAGTGGTACCCTTGTCTCCCCTGGTGATGCGTGGACCAGTCCTCTGAGAGCCTTGCTCAGTCACTGCCTCTTCTTTTGCCCTGGCAGTGTGGATGGGGGTGAGCTCTTTGACCGGATCACAGAGGAGAAGTACCACCTGACTGAACTGGATGTGGTCTTGTTCACCAAGCAGATCTGCGAGGGCGTCCGTCACCTCCATCAGCATTACATCCTGCACTTGGACCTCAAGGTCGGGCTCCTCCCTGGGCGTGTGGGGGTGGGTGCCCCTGCTCCTGAGCCTCTGCGGCTCTCTCATCTTTGAGACCTCTGTCATCACACAGTCCTGGCTTCCTTTCCTGGCTCTGCCATGGCCTAGTTCTAGAGTCTAGGGCAGGCCAAGTCTCAGAGCCTCAGTTTCTCCATCTGTGAAATGTGGAAAATAGCTACCTCATTAAGTGTTCTTTAAGGATCAAATGAAACAACTTATTTTTTCTATTAAAAAAAACTCAAAAATTAGTTTTTAAAAAATTAAAATAGAAACACATGCATGTAGTAACAAATATAGACAATTTAGAAGTATATAAAATGCACAGTGAAAGTTCTTCTTACGCAGTCTCTGTGCTGAGAGGTCTTCTGTATTAGCATGTTGGCATGAAAAACACTCACAAAGGAGAGCTTACTGTATATTTCATTTTTAAACTTGCCTTTTTAAGTATAGTGTAGACATCTTATCTGATTCTCTTTAAGGGCCATCATATAGTCCATTGAATGAAAGCATTGCAGCTTCTTTTGTCTACTTGATGAAAACTAAGCATGTGGTGGCCATTCTTTTCTTTCTTTTTGATAAATAGTTTATTTCTCAGTTGTCTATTCTGTTCCATTGATCTGTTTGTTTGTTTTTATGCTGATATCACACTATTCTGATTAGTATAGCTTTGTAACAGTTTGAAATCAGGAAGTGTGGTGTCTCCGATTTTGTTTTTCTCCCCCAAGATTGCTTTGGCTATTGGGGTCTTCTGTAGTTCCATACAGATTTTAGATTGTTTGCTGTATTTCTGTGAAAATTGCCATTGGAATTTTGATAGGGATTGCCTTAAATTTGTAGATTGCTTTGGGTAGTAAGGACATATAATAGTAAGAACATTTTAATATTAATCCTTCCAACCAAGAGCATAGGATATCTTTCCATTTATTTGTCTTCTTTAATTTCTTTCATCAGCATCTTATAGTTTTTAGTATATAGATCTTTCACTAACTTGTTAAATTTATTCCTAAGTATTTTTTTGATCAACTATAAATAGGACTGTTTTCTTAATTTCTCTTTCTAATAGTTTCTTTTTAGTGTATAGATATGCAACTGAATTTTTGTATATTGCTTTTGTATTCTGAAAATATACTGAATTTGTTTTTAAGTTCTAACAGTATTTTGGTGATGACTTTAGCATTATATATATGTATATAATATCACGTCATCTGCAAATAGTGACAGTTTTACTTCTTTCTGAGTTGGATGCTTTTTCTCTCTTTTATCACCTAATTACCCTCTATGACTTGCAATACTGTTTTGAATAAAAGTAGTGAGAGTGAGCATCCTTGTCTTGTTCTTGATATTAGAGGAAAAGCTTCCAGCTTTTACCATTGAGCATATTATCTATGGACTTGTCATATATGACCTTTATTATGTTAAGGTATATTCCCTCTACAACTAGTTTGATGACAGCTTTTATCATGAAATGGATATTTAATTTTGTTAAGTGTTTTCACTGTATATGTTGAGATGATAGTATGATTTTTATTTTTCATTTTGTTAATGTGTTTTATCACACTGATTGGTTTGCATACATTAAACCATCTTTGCATCTCTGGAATAAATATCATTTGATTGTGGTGTATAATCTTTTTATGTATTGTTGAACTTGATTTGCTAATATTTTGTTGAGGATTTATACATCTATTCTTAAGAGGTATGTTAGACTGTAATTTTCTTTCCTGTTATATCCTTGTCTGGTTTTGCTATCAGGGTAATGCTGGCCTTATAAAATGAGTTTGGAAGTATTCCCTCCTCTTCTGTTTTTTGGTAGAGTTTGAGAAGGATTGATACCAATTTTTTTTAAAAGATTGGTAAAATTCACCAGTGACCATTTGGTTCTTGACTTTTGTTTTTCGGTATATTTTTGATTACTAGTAATTAGTCTGTTCAGATTTCCTGTTTATTCATGATTTGTTCTTATCTAGTTGTTACGATTCTAGGAATTTCTTCTAGGTTGTCCAGTTTGTTGGCAATAAATTCCTCTCTCTCTCTCTCTCTCTCTCTCTCTTTCTGTCTCTCTCTTTCTTGGTGAGTCTAAAAAGTGAAAAATGAAAGTGTTAGTTGCTTAGTCGTGTCTGACCCTTTGTGATCCCATGGACTGTAGCCCACCTGGCTACTCTGTCCATGGACTTCTCCAGGCAAGAATACTGGAGTGGGTACCCATTCCCTTCTCCAGGGCATCTCCCCAACCCAGGGATCAAACCTGGTCTCCTGCATGCGGATTCTTTACCATCTGAGTCACCTTATCTGTAAAGTTTGTTTCCAGTTTTATCAAGATATAGTTGACAGGTAACACTGTTTTTGTTTAAAGTATAAACATAATTGTTGATATATGTATACACTGCAAAGTTATTCCACAGTAAGTTTAGTTAATTATATTACCTCACATAGTTATAATTTCTCACTTAACAACTTTCATATATACAATACTGCATTGTTAACTATAGTCAGCATGCTGTACATTATATCCTCAGGACTTTTATTTTATAACTGGAAGTTTGTACCTTTTGACCACCTTCACCAATTTCCCCAAACCCTCCCCCTACCCCTCTCTGGCAAGCACTACTTTGTTCCCTAAACAAACTACTTATTTGTTCATATGAGTTCTGGGTGATTTTTTTTATAGATTCTACTTATAACTGAGATCATACAGTAAGTGTTTTTCTGTCTGATTTATTTCAATCTGCATAATGTTGTCAAATTCCATGTTATCACAAATGGCAGAATTTCTTTCTTTTTTATGGCTGAATAATCTTTTGTGTATATATAACACATTAAAAAATTATTCAACTTTGATGGACACTTGACTATTGTAAATAATGCTGCAATGAATATAGGGGTGCAAATATCTCTTCAAGACAGTGATTTGGTTTCCTTTGGATATATACCCAGAAGTAGAATTGCTAGGTTGGTACTCCTATTTTTAATTTTTTGAGGAAATGCCACACCATTTTGCACAGTGGCTGCACCAATTTACATTCCCAGCAACAGTGCACAAAGTTGCCTTTTCTCTACATCCTCACTGACACTTGCTATCTCTTGTTTTTTGGATGACATTCATTTTAACAGGAATAAAGTGATATCTCACTCTGGTTTTGATTTGCATGGTGGCCATTTCTATGGTTTTTCACTCCACTGGGGCAATAGGAGAATTTTTCTCTGCAACCTCTGTCAGGAATCTTAGTGGCTCTCTACAGAAGATGGGAAGTGGGTTGGTTGGACCATGTATGCACACTGCTCCTTCTGATCATCTTTCTTGATTGACATCAGACTGTAACATTGTGGTACTATGAAAAATGGTAGAGATGGTGAGGAATCGGCCTCAAACTTCCTTACTCACTGGAGCTAATTCCAGAGCCTCTGGACCAGCTTTCTGTGGCATGAGCAGTTAAGAGAAGCTAGGATTCTGTTCTGTGATTCAGGATCAACGAACAGCCTTTGGGGCAATACCTGTGATACTACAGCAGGAGACAATTGTTGCCAAGGTCTGTTTCCCAACCAGGAGCAGAGCTTGTGTTAGTTCAGCCTCTTCCTGACCAGGAGATCTTACATAAGTTCCTTGATCTTATTGATTGGTCTTGCATAAGCTCATCATTTGAAAAGTGGGGATTAATAATATCTATTTCCTAGGAATGTTGGTTGAATTAAAATATGAAATATCTTAATATTTCACTTGAAACATAACTAGTATAACTGAGGAACTGAAGTTTAAATTTTATTAGTTTTTAATTAAATAAAAAACTGATATGATTAAATTATTAAAAAAACATGAAGTATATTTAGAACAACTTCAACATGTTAATTTGCTGTCAATTTCATGCAATCTAAATACAAATAAAGGACTTCCCAGGTGGCTCAATGGTAAAGAATCCGCCAGTTCATAAGATCTAAATACATTTAAAGTACCTCTGATGAAATTTCAGTGTCTGAATTGAGATGTGCTATAAATGTAAAATATACACTGGACTTCAAAGGCAATATAATAAAAATAATTGAAAAATCTCATCAATATTTTTATTTTGATAACCTATTGAAATAATAATATTTTTATATATTTGGCTAAATAAAATTATTATTAAAATTAAATTTTAGAAAATACTTTGAAGTGAATGAAAATGAGAACACAACATGCTAAAGCTTATGGGGTGCATGTAAACTAGAAACAAAATTTGTAGCTGCAAACTCTTATATGTTAAAAAGAAGATCTCAAATCAATAATCTAACATTCCACCTTAAGAAACTAGAAAAAGAAGAACAAGTTAAACTCAAAGCAAGTAGAAAGAGAGAAATAAGAAAGATTAGAGCAGAAGTAATTGAAACAGAAAACAGAGAAACAGTAGAGAAGATCAGTGAAAAGAAATTTGTTCTTTGAAAAGATGAATAAGCTGACAAATCTAGCTATTTTGAACCAGAGAGAAAGAGAGAAGACTCAGTTACTGAAATGAATGGAATGAAAGAGGGGCATCACTACCAGCCTTACCAAAATTAAAAAAAGATTATAAGAGAATATTATGAAAACTTGTATGCCAGTAGATTAGATAATCTAGATAAAATGGAGATTCCCTAAAAGGCACAAACATCTGAAAACTGGCTCAAAAAGGATCAGAAAATCTGAATAGACTTATAACAAGTAAAACAGTCAAACTAGTATAAAAACTACCCATAAAAAATCCTAGACCCATATGGCTATCAAATGTCTAAAGAGTTAACACCAATCCTTCACAAAATGTTCTAAAATTAGAAGAGAAAGAAATGTTTTCTCACTCATTTTATAAAATCAAACTTATCCTCATCCCCAAACCAGGCAGACCTCACTTCCTGTGATGAAACTACAGTACAATATCCCTTATGAATATAGATGTAAATACTGTCAATAAAATATTACTAAACTGAGTATGAAGTTGCTCCATCGTGTCTGACTCTTTGCGACCCCATGGACTGTAGCCCACCAGGCTCCTCAGTCCATGGAATTTTCCAGGCAAGAGTACTGGAGTGGGTTGCCATTTCCTTCTCCAGGGGATCTTTCCAACCCAGGGATTGAACCTGGTTCTCCCGCACTGCAGGCAGATGCTTTACCATCTTGGCCACCAAGGAAGCCCAAGTTTAGCATATAAAAAGGATTATACACATCACAAACTGGGATTTGTTCCAAGAAAGCAAAGTTGGTTTAACATAAGAAAATCAATCAATGTAATATGTCATATTAAAAGAATAAAGGATGATATCACCTGATAATTTTAGTAGCTGCAGAAAAAGCACTTGACAAAATTGAACACCTTTTCATGATGAAAACACTAAGCAAATTAGGTATAGAACTTCCTTAGTTTGATAAAGGCCACATATGAAAAAACCCCAGGTAATAATAAATGTAATGGTAAAAGGTTGAATGCTTTCCTTTTAAGATCAGTAACTAGATGAGGATGTATATTCTTGCCATTTCTATTAAACATTGTACTTGTGGTTCTAACCAGGGCAATTAGGCAAGGAAATAAATAAAATGTATCCAGATTGGGGAGAAAGAAGTAAAATTTTATTCACAGATGACCTGATTTTGTATATAGCAAATCCTAAGGAGGGTAGAGAGAAACTATTAGAACTAATAAATGAGTTCAGCAATGTTGCAGGATCTAAGATGTAAAATTCAATTGCATTTCCATACATTAGCAATCAACATTCTATAAACAAAATTAAGAAAACCATTTCATTTACAGTGGCATTGGAAAGAATAAAATACTTATAAATGAATTTAACCAAAGATATATAAACTTTATATTCTGAAAACTATGAAACATTGTTGAAAGAAATTAAAGATGACATAAGTAAATGGAAAGACATCCCATGTTAATAGCTCAGAAAACTTAATGTTATTAAGATGACAATACTCTCCAAAATGATCTATATGTTCAATATAGTCTTGTCAGACTCACAGCTGACTTCTTTGCAGAAATTAATAATCTAATCCTAAAATTCAGATGGAAATTCTTGGGACCCAGGTGAGCAAAAGCAATCTTGAAAAAGAGGAACGAAAAAAAGAAGATGATGAACAAAGTTGGAGGACTCACGTTTCCCAACTTCAAAATCTACTATAAGCTACATAAATAAAAAATGTGTTATGATGTAAGGATGGGCAGACATATCAATGGGATACAATTGAGAGTCTAGAATTAAACCCCTTTTTTTGTGGTCAATGGATTTTTGAGAACAGTGCCATGACAGTTCAATGGGGAAAGAGTAGTCTTTGCAACAAATGATGCTGGGACACCATGATTGATATCCACATAAAAATTGAAGCCCCACCTCATTCTATAAATAAAAGTTAACTCAAATGGACATAAACCTAAACGTCAGAGCTGAAACTATAAAATTGTTAGAAGATAGTGTAAAAGTAAATTATATCTGACTCAAAAAGCACAAGATAGAAAAGTTTATAAATTTAGATTTCATCAAAATTTAAAAATCTTTATACTTTGAAGAACACCATCATGAAGATGAAATGACAGCCCACAGAATGGGATAAAATATTTTCAAAACATTTATCTGATAAAGGACTTGTACCTAGGGTGTATAAAGAACTCTTATAACTCAATGAGAAAGATAAATTTGAATAGACATTTGTCTAGTGAGGATTTTAAGATGGCCAATAAGCACATGAAAAGATTTTTTAACATCATTAGTCAAGAGAGAAATGTAAATCAAAACTACAATGAGATACTATTTCAGAACCATTGGATTAACTAAAATAAAATATTAAAATGGCAGACAAGTATTGGCTAGGATTTAGAGAAAACGGAACTCTCAGACATTGCTGGTGGGATTGTAAAGTTGTGTATCCACTTTAGAAAACAATTTGGCAGTTTCTATAATGTTAAACATGGAGTTATCATATGACCAGTAATTTAACTTCTAGGTATATTCTCAAGAATTGAAAACACAAGTCAACACAAAAACTTGTACACAAATGTCATTAGCAGTATTATGCATAATAGCCAAAAAGTAGAAACAACACCAATGTTTACTCTCTGATGAACAAGTAAACAAAATGCGGTAGGTATATTGTCCTTATAATGATTATTATTCAGCCATGAAAAGGAATCAAGTATTGATATATGGATGAACCCTGAAGATATTATGCTGAGTGAAAGAAGTCAGATGCAAAAGGTCACATATGTATTTATGATTCCATTTATATGAAATTCCCAGAACAGGCAAATCTACAGAGATAGAAAATACATTATTGGTTGTCAGGAGTTGCAAGTAAGGAGGATGGAGAGTGGTGACAGCTGATGAATATGTTTTTTTTTCCCTGAAGTGATGAAAATGTTCTAAAACTAGAGTGATAAACTATCTACTGAAAAACCACTGAATTGTATACTTTAAAATGGTAATTTTTATCATCACATCTTTATTATTTATATTTCAATAATGCTTTTGTGAAAATTAAGTTCACCTATTTCTTTTTACTTTTTTAATGTGGCTATTAGAATTTTTTGAATTATGTATGTAGCTCACATTATATTTTCTATTGGACAGTGTATTTCTAAATCTCGTAAAGAAGGCATGAAGATTTTTAATCATCATTTTTCTGAACCTATCTGAGGAGTTTCACAACCCCATTGTAACATAAGTAGCAATAAAATCTTCTATTGGGAGAAATAGTACCTGATATTTGCTTCACAAGCTGTAAAGTCTTTAATGCATTATTATATCATTTGATCTTTACACCTTCCCAGGAGGAAGGCAGGAAGAGGTTATTATTCTCATTTTACAGATGGAGACACTGAGATTTCTGGAATGGGAAAGTACTCATCTAGGGCTACAGACCCTGGTAATGGACCCCTGGACTGCAGGCCCTGACCTTAGGTCTCCAGGTCCTTTGTCCTATAAGCCTTCCATCTGCCCTCAACCCCTCCCCACCTTCAAATTTGTCTGCCACAAGTAGCAAGAATTATTCCAGTCTTCCTCAGGGCCTCCAAGCTGATATGAAAGACTTAAGAGAAGCATGTCAAGTCCATTGTCTCCATTCCATGGGTCACAGCTGTCACCACAAAATGGCAGGATGACATTTGGCAGCTCTGATCTCCTTGACCAGACTACTGCAGATTTGGTCCCACACTTGAGATTCTGATTTAATTGGTCAGGATTAGAGCCTGGGTGTTAGGATTTTCGAAGGGTCCCCTGATGATGCTAGCAAGCATCAAGGTTTGGAACCACCACCCCGAGCCAATGGTCTCAAGCAAGCAGCTCGTGGGCCAAATCTACATCCCAGATATGTCGTGTTTAACTTCCACACATGATGAATATGTGTTTAAATTGGATTTAGTTGTCAACATTTAAAAGCATGGAGTTTTTACTTAAACTTGGATTTCTGGGATCCCTTGAGGACTGAGGAACTCTAGTGACTGGACCTACGTTTCTGTGTGGTGGCCGGTGGCTGGAGTTGAGCAGTGGCTGCCCTTTTACACATGGCAGGAGTTCTCCAGGTCCTCTTGTTCACACCACTCCTCATTGTCTCACACTAGCCCGCATCATTTATTTTCACTATCAATCCATCCCTGAAGTGCTGCCCTCTAGGGCTTTCCTGTGGAGGCTGGGAAACAGGCCTATTGACAAATAAGTGTAGGATCTCAGCCCTTCCTAGTTGTTGATTAATCTAAGCAAACTTCTTTTTCTTTCCCAGCCTGAGAATATACTGTGTGTCAATCAGACAGGACACCAAATTAAGATCATTGACTTTGGGCTGGCCAGAAGGTAAGAGAGTTGTATTTTGGTTCTTCAGCAGAACTCCCTGGGGACTCTTGGATATGGTTACCCACAACTCAGCCAGTTTTTTAATTTGGGGGACTAATATGAGAAAGCTCACTTACAAGGTTGGTGGCCTTCACAAAAACTATGTAGATAGGCCTTGTTATGACCCTCCTTACTACCACAGGGGGCAGCTTTATGCAGCAGGCTCCATTTCTCCTTAAAAGACTGTGGGGTTCTAGGTTCATCCACCTCACTAGAACTGACTCAAATTTGTTCCTTTTTATGACTGAGTAATGTTCCATTACTTAGCAACTAAGCAACAAAATATTCCATTGTGTGTATGTACTACAACTTCCTTATCCATTCATCTGTCAATGGACATCTAGGTTGCTTCCACGTCCTGGCTATCGTAAATAGTGCTGCAGTGAACACGGGTATATGAATCTTTTTGAATTATGGTTTTCTCAGGGTATATGTCCTGTAGTGGGATTGCTGGCTCATATGGTGGTTTTATCCCAGTTTTTTTTTTTAAAGAAATTTCCATAGTGTTCTCCATTGTGGCTGTATCAATTTACATTCCCATCAGCAGTGCAAGAAGTTTCCCTTTTCTTCACATCCTCTCCAGCATGTATTGTTTTTTGATGATGGCCATTCTGACCAGTGTGAGAGCCTGTTATATAAAGCGAAATAAGTCAGAAAGAGAAACATGAATATTGTATATTAACACAAATATATGGAATATAGAAAAATGGTAGTGATGCTTTGCAGGGCAGTAATAGAGACACAGACATAGAGAACAGACTTGTGGACACAACAGAGAAAGGAGAAGGTGGGATGATTTGAGAATAGCATGAAACACATATATTACCATATATAAAAGAGATAGCTAGTAGGAAGTTGCTATATAACACAGGGAGCTCAACCCAGTGCTCTGTGAGAACCCAGAGGGGTGGGATGGTGTGGTGGGAGGGAGATTCAAGAGGGAGGGGACATATATATATATATATACTTATGGCTGATTTTTGTTGTTATATGGCTGAAACTAACACAGCATTGTAAAGTAATTATCCTACAATTAAAAATAAAATTTAAGAAAAGAATTAACTATACTTCAAACCACTTGTGTGAGCAGAGGGGAGTGGTAGTTAAAGGAGGTCACTGAATGGGGGTGCTGGGCAGCTCATTTCTATTCATTCCCCAGGTCTCCTGGGACCAGGATGTGTGATACATTCATTAGCAACTCTGCCTTCCAGAAAATGGCTAGGTTAGACAGGAAAGTGTGTGACTGTGCAGGATGGTGCCATGGATAAGAGGTTCTGAGCTCTCAGGACTGGCCTTGATCTTGGTAAAATGGTGATATAATGCAGTGACTGTTGATATGAGCAGTTATGAAGTTTAAATGAGACACTACATCAACAGTGCAGAACCATCCTATGAGGGTGGTTAGGTTCTCAAGTGTTGGTGCATACAGTGAACATCATATATAATTAAAAAACACACAAAACTTAAAGTCCCTTAAAAGGCAAGCCTAGTGAAGTATAGATAGCTTTACTGTTGGATCCTGTCCTGTCTCAGGTGTGACAAACACCATGCCTCTGCAGGGCTCTTGTCTATGGCATGCATATCCAGTGGTGTGGCTGTAGCAGACCCTTGGCATTGGGGAGGACACCCACAGTCTATAGTGGTTCCCTGGTGGCTCAGGCAGCAAAAAATCTGCCTGCACAACAAAATTCTGTAAAGCAATTATCCTTCAATTAAAAAATAAATAACAAAGAAAAGTTCAACCTCCCCCCCCCCAAAAAATATCTGCAATGCAGGAAACCTGGGTTCAATCCCTGTATCAGGAAGATCCCTTGGAGAAAAGAATGGCAATCCACTCCAGTATTCTTGCCTGGAGAATCCCATGGACAGAGGAGCCTGGTGGGCTACAGTCCATTCGGGTTGCAAAGAGTCAGACATGACTGAGCGACTAACAGTTAACACTTTCCACAGTCTATAAAGATGAAAATCAATGTATGCTCCTCCTCCATGCTTCCTCCAGAATTCTGTTTCCACCAGGAAATGACATGTCTCTGAGAATCACATACTTTCTAGATAGGTCTTCACACCACAGCTGAATAATCAAATCTTGAAATTTTTTCTAATGGTCATTTTCCACAAAGAAGTTGTTTTTGTCACTTTATGAGCCTTGCAGCATCTTCCACTCTCTCCACAAGGGGAGAAAGGAGACTCTTATCTCCACGGAGGCAGAGCTGCTTGCCTGAGTTCAGCCTCTGGTGTCGAGCACCTGCCTCCCAGAGGTGGCATGCAAAACCACAGTGGTGGTCTTCCTAGGTCACTGCTCCACTGGTTGAAGTGGTAAATGTATGTCTCTGTAGGTGTGAAAGGTGCATTTTCAGTGCTCCATGTGATGGATGGGAGGCCAAGTGTGGGGTTGTTAGAGTAACAGCAGAGGGAAGTTCTTATCATCCCACTATACCTTCAGGATCCTCATTACACAGTGTATTGTATTTCATTAACAATACCAAGCCCCCCAACCCAAAAGCTTAAAAATCACACTCAACCCATATGTAAAAAAAAATTGCTTAATATTTTTCCAAGTAATGTTGTATAAAATTGGGATGCATCCTGTACACTTGTGTATCTTATGCACCAGGGCATGCTTCACAACCTAGTTTTCATGTCTCTGCCTGCTCCACAAGGAGCCTTTTTACCATTTCTTTCCTAATCCCCAGGTTCCATCTTCATGATGCCACAGGCGTACTGTATATCTGTTTATGTACTGTGGCCCTTTGGAGAGCCACAGACCATTGTAATAGCTAAGACTTTTTTTGCCCCACCCCCACCAGAACTGGTGTTTACTGGTGGCTCAGACGGCATAGTCTGCTTGCAACGCGAGAGACCCAGGTTCGATCCTTGGGTCAGGGCGATTCCCTGGAGAAGGGCAACCCACTCTGGCCTGGAGAAATGACAAGGGACCAATGACAGGGAACCCTGACAGGCTATAGTCCATGGGGTCGCAGACTCAGACACGACTGAGCGACTAACAATTTCACTTTCACTTTTCCACAAGAACCACTGTTCCCTCACTGTGGGGCAATATATTCTTCATTGAGACTGCACACGCTAGTGTGTATGTAGGACCCTCCCAAATGTCAGATGACCAATTGCCAAATGAGGATTAACAGCGATGCACTGTGAATTCAGAGCTAGAAGTAACCACCTGAGGTCCCTGAAGTCTGAGAAGGCTTGCCTGAGCAGCCAGAAGAGAGGAATGGATGAAGTTTTGTTACCTGCAGGCAATAGTGCTGGCAAATGTTTAACAACCCACTGCAGCTGGAGTGGGAGAGGGGATGGGATTGATTTGTAACCTTTGCTAACTTTGGCTGATTTCAAGCTACCAATATGGCATCACTGAGTACAGAGCTGAGAGGAGATGTGCACAGCTGGCTTTCATGCACCTGTGACAACTGGCTCCAGCACGCCTCTGCATGGAGGGGAGGCAAGAGGGCTAGTGTGACTTGGGGGCTGAGAATAGGATGTGCTGCGTGTGTAAGCAGGCTGACCTGGGGCAGGCAGGAGTTGCAGGTGGGACAGTGGGTGCTGAGGGCACTTACGGAGCACTGGAGAAGTGTAGGTGTCAGAAAACAAGGAAATGGCCCTCGGTGGAGCTGGGCCGACAGGCTCATGGGTCCTGGCTGTGAGATGAAAGGAAGACATCAAAAACATCCTCAGCAGTCTGGCAAACTGGTTACTCAGCCGAAGGATTGTTTGGCAAATTGACCTGCTTACTGGGCAGTGTGATTTGAAGAGGAGGGACCTGTGGGGGAACTATGTGTTGAGAGAGTATGCCTCATGTTCCAGAATAGTTAAAATGTTTGTAAAGAGGGAGGAAATGGCAAAGTTTCCCCATAACAAGAACTGTAGAAAGTGCAGTGGTATTTCTGGGTGGGGCTGTGAGCAGGCACTGAGACTGCGAGTGGAGGTATGGTCCTCAGTAGGGAGGGGCCACACAAATCCAAAGAGGCTCTGACATCCAGCGAGAGGGACCAGTTTTACACCAGGCTGGGTGGTAAGAGTCATCAGTGGGTCTCAGTAGGGACATATCAAAGGGTCGAGGATGGAGACAAATGGGAAATATCTTGTTTAAGCTTGGTCTCCAGAATTTTGGGTGCAGGGATGTGCCTCCTGACTCCCAGTGCAGGGCTCAGATTGGAATTTAAGCACATTTAATCATATCCTTTGGCAGGGCAAGGAGGTGATTGTCCCAAACCTTATGGGCTGTGACTGCATATGTGACCTTATGATTCCCAAAGGGCCTTGCTCTGGGAATTTGGAAAGGGAATCTTGGATACTTTGACCCAACTTTGGGGCGGATGGATCGGTTAACTATTGCCACAGTACTGTTGTATAACGAGTCACCCCCATATACACTCCATGCTGTAAAACAAGTCACGGTGACTTAAAACAATTGTTTGTTTTCCTCCACACATATCTGAGTCAGCTGGGGAAGTAGTGTGATGGACCCAACTCCCACTAGCTCATGATAAGGAACCTTGTAAGCCAGTTGTTAAACATGACCGTTATTACAAATTAAATTGTATAAATGTACAATTCAAGAAATCATGTCAAAACAAAGATATTACAATTTTACATTATTTATTTTCATTTTTGGTTGTTCTGGGTCTTCGCTGCTGAATGCGGCCTTCCTCCAGTTGCAGAGAGTGGGTGCTACTGTCTAGTTGTGGTGCTTGGGCTTCTCATTGTGTTGGCTTCTTTCTTGCAGAGCACAGGCTCCAGGGTGCAGAAGCTTCAGTAACCGCAGCACGTGGGCTCAATAGTTGCAGCTTGTGGGATCTAGAGCATGGGCTGAGTAACTGTGACATACGGGCTTAGTTGCTCTGTGGCATGTGGGATCTTCTCAGACCAGGGATCAAACCTGTGTCCCCTGCATGGGTAGGCAGATTCTTATCCGCTGTACCACCAGGGAAGTCCAAGATATT